AGTGGGTCAAATTTGGTATAAATTAACACTCGATCATAAGGTTAACTTATTATTTTTAAAAAGTAATTCAACCTCCTGTCAGCATTTGCCTCTGGAATTACACAGATGTCTGTGTTCATCACTCCTTTCTGTATTACTTATTTTTTTAAAATGGGCTTGAGTTGTTTTTGTTTTCAGAAAAAAAAAAAGACTTTCAGGTGGTATGAGAAAATTATGAATACATTTTTATGAAAATTATCTCACAGGCTGTTTTTAATTAGCAACAACTTGGAAGTTTTACAGTGTCTCTTCAAACTATAAGTAGAATGATTACCCATTTTGCCCCAAAACAGTCTCTCATAGTGCTTTTAAATCCCAGAGCCCTGGAATAGCATGCCATTTTGTGCACGGATACCAGAAATAAATGTTCTAAACACAGATTCAAAGTTGTAATGAAGCAAAAAGGACGCAGTTGTGGAAAAGGACGATAAACAGACTTGTAAACATACTGTAAAGAGTTCCCGTGTAATTATTAAACAACTTAAGTGGCTTTATAAAAGCCAATTTAAAATATTTACAAGTTTTAGATGACCATTTTTAAAAAGGTTTAAAAAAAAACATTCCCGGGCGCCTGGGTGGCTCAGTTGGTTAAACGACTGCCTTCGGCTCAGGTCATGATCCTGGAGTCCCGGGATCAAGTCCCGCATCAGGCTCCTGCTCAGCTGGGAGCCTGCTTCTCTCTCTGACCCTCTCCCCTCTCATGCTGTTTCTCTCTAATAAATAAATAAAATCTTAAAAAAAAAAAACAAAACATTCCCAGGGCGCCTGGCTGGCTCAGTCCATGCGATTCTTAATCTCCGGGTTGTCAGTCTGAGCCCCATGTGGGGTGTAGAGATTACTTAAAATAAAATTAAATTAAATTAAGATAAAAACATTTCCCTCTTCTTGAAGGAGGGAAACGCTCTTGCAAACTTTTTTGTTTTACTATGAACACATGTTCACAGTAAAATAAGTCACATGCAATATAAAGCAAAACTAAGATTCCCCTATTCACCCCATCCCCAGTAAAATGACTGTTAATGTTTCTGGTGTTTCCTACGAGAAAATGATTTTTGGGGGGCACCTGGGTGGCTCAGTTGGTTAAGCGTCTGCCCTCAGCTCAGGTCAAGATCCCGGCTCAGGTCATGATCCAGACAGTGTTGGGCTCCCTGCCCAGCGGGGAGCCTGCTTCTCCTTCTCCCTCTGCCCCTCCACCCCCGCTCATGCTCTCTCTCGCTCAGCTCTCAGCTCGCTCTCTCAAATAAATAAAATCTTAATGATTTGTTGTTGTCGTTGTTTGTAAATAGGAGAGAGAGGGCTTGGTTGGTAAGGGGGCCAAAGGGTCTTTGGGGTGGTGGGTATACAGATACTCCCATCCCATGACCATTTGTCAAGCAGTGTACTTTTTTCTGTTGGCACACTTCAATGAAGTTGTTAAAAATGGACGGCCAGAGGAGAAACAAAGTAATCTGAAACTAAGACTAGAAAGAGTAGCAACTCTCTGAACCAGCAAGCCCTTCTGCAGAGTTTAAAGAGAAGGAGTGGTTTGAAAAAGAAACAAAATTGAAGCAAGTACCCAGCAGCACTCCCATGAACACTACAGAAAAGGTGTAAATATTGTGTCAACATTTTCCAGATAAGAACTCTTTTTAGTACCTAAGGGACAATTACCCACAGGCTGTTTTATACAACGAAACTGCTTTCTTCTCGGTCATTTTCAACATGGGCTCAAATTTCAATACTTTGCTGCCCAAATAGATCATACTTCAGAATTCAGGAAATAAAAAAAGAGGAACGCGATTTGATTTTTAACAGTAACTATTCAACAAGAAATAGAACTGGAAGAATCTTTTTCAATGGGGTTTATTAAAGATGACAAAATACGTTTCTCTGGTGTTCCTGTGGAAACAAAGGGAACAGACTTTCTCAGACAGCTGTTCTGTGTCCCCTTCCACAAGCACCTCCTCTTTGCTTCTTTACGACTGTCAATCTGTCTTTAGAAGGTTTATTTCTTGCATCAGTACACAAAATGCCATGCTATTCCAAGGCCATGGGGTAAAATTTGGCACTAAGAGTCCATTTGGGGGCAAAATGGGTAATCATTCTTACAATTTGAAGGGACATTTAAAAATCTCTACACTGTCACATTCATAGGTACTTTTGCCCCCTTCCTGCCACACAGGCCCTACCTGAGCAGGAAGCTGATCTCAGGTGAAGAGACGGGGAGTCTGAGATGTAGACAGGACAAACAAAGGACCAGCCCTCATTTGCTGTTACTCCTCTACTTGACCATCTAGTTCAGCTCAGTGCTGTGGCCACCTTGGCTGACTGTCGCATGCATGCTGGCCTCCGCAGTGGGGCACTCAGGCTCCAGGGAACACTGGTTCAACTGTTGACCTGGACCCCAAACCACCTCCCGCAGAAAGCCCTGGCTCCCCATCCAGACGTCCTTCCTATCATTCCATGAGCACTGAGCAAATGCCTTAAGGTTCACAGCAGAACACTAACCTACCATTTGCTCACTGGGTTTTCTGATGCATGGGTCTCTCTTTAATCAGCTAACCCAGAACTGGCCTACCAGCTAGCTCCTATCAGAGATCATGCTAAAAAAGAATGATATTTAGGGAAGGAGGCTTGATCTTGATGTTATCAAAGACACAAATACTTCCTGTGGGAAAAAAAAATCAGCATATGAACTTAGCCAGAAAGAGACCCACGAGGTCCAGCATTATTTTGCAGATCAGCATTTACTTGAAAGCAATGCACACGGACATAAGCAAGACCAGCTTTGACACCCGGTCTATACCCCACGCTTGCTTTCTGCAAACAAGGAACAGAAATGGAAAAACCATGAGGGCTTTGTGGATTCCTTCCAGAAAGAGATGTTGAGGGAAGATAATGGAGATAAAACTCAGACGTGGAGGAGCAACCATTTAAGAGAAGACAATGCCTGATAGGCAGCCAGCTCTCTATTCAGGGAGGAGAGCTGTCACCAACAGCTGAGACCTCTGGGCTATTTCAGCAGTGCAAAGACATGTGCCAGCCTAAATTCAGAACTCTGAGGATTCTTCTCTACACTGTGTTACCTGGGGCAGCTGGGTGTAAGGACGCTGTGTCCATCTGGTCTAAACACACCTCAGGTTGCTAGAAACCAAAATGCTGCTAATAGTCTACTGACGCTCAGTCTTGGAGCCAAGTACCCAGTCAGCAATGACAGCATCACCCCGGTTTGGGTGTAAGTATTTTTTATCTCTCAAATCTCCTACCATTCAGTAATTTTCTTCCATCCCAGACTGAGGCATGCTGTTACTAAGCAACTTCAAGTCATATCTGAAGTCTGTGAGTGGGTGTGGTTAAAATAAACAGATGACAAAGTCACTGCAAGTTACAGAGAGGCAAAAGCTACACAAAGACCTTTTAAAAACATGCCTGTAGTTTTTATTCTGGCCTGTCAATGCCACACCATGCCTTGACTTTGTTTTGTACAGGTTTTAACTGTCTTCATAATCCCAGCATTTCTGCAAGCTCAGTGAGAGGGAATTGCAGCCAACTGTGGCCCAACGGAGAAGGAACTCAGGCACACTGCATTCTCCAGGGCCAATCTGCACACTGATTCTGACGGGTACAAATCCTAAATGGGGTTAAGTGAAGACCTATGTGCACTGCCATGACTTATCTGTCCATTTGAAAAGATGACCGGGACTTATATTTCAGCCACCCCTAAGTTTCTTCTAGTGTTTACTCCCTTCTTCTCCAAACTTAAGGCAATTCAGAGATTTTCGTGAGAGACAGAGAATTTGTTTTTGCTCCAGCCCCTTTTAATTCAGTGATGCTCAAGACTCCCCTCCTTCCTGCCTCGCAGGCCGAACAAATAACTTTTCACACTTATCTCTACATCACAAGATGTCATAGGAATTGTGGTATTTTTTTAGATGACCTGGAGTCACCTATCTTTCCTGGATCACTCAGTTAATCACTAACTAGAGGCTTTCTGCCTTCAGTCCTCTGGTGACACTTCTGCAACCAGCAATGTTCTCTCCAGTTCTGACACTCCAATTACCAGCCACCCGGGCGCCACAGGGAGCTACTCTGTGGGGCTGCTACCCTTTACCATCAGGACGACTGAGTAACAAAATCTCATGGCTCAGGACTTGGCAGAGTGAAACAGATCAATGAAGCTGCCAATGCCCACGTTTACTGCAGAATAACTCCTGGTCCTGGGCTCCGACACCCGCCGGGCACACAGATATGTGTTGTCAATGACCCAGAGAAGGCCCACAGTCTCCCTCACAATTTTCCCACGGGGACACACCACAGGAGCTACAGGCTCCCAGTCTTCCTTGAGAAGTGCCCGATCTGATGGAGGAGGTCAGAGCTGTCGTAGGGTCTGCATGGCCAATCTGTAAACTACCAAAAACGTAAGGAACTGACGCGTCTTAAAACCGAAAGGTACAGCTGAGGACGAAAGAGTCGGAGACAACGAAGACAGAGCCCCAGGCTTTCAGAGTTCACAGGAGGGCAAACAAGTCGGCAAATAACTACAATCCGCGCAACAAGTACCAAAGCAAAGGAAAGGCCAGGCGAACCGCTGACCTGTGAAAAGGCCAGGCCCTTCAGCAGGAAGGAGACCCGGAGGGAAACGAGGGGCAGTCTGACCTCTGGTTCCAAATTTCCCCCCACCAACTCGTCTCGGGGCCTGGCCGGGAGGCACCCAGGCAAAGGGGGCGCCGGGGGGGAGGGGCGGCGCTGGGAAGCGCGTCGGTCCTCGCCCCGCGAACGCCCCGCGGGCCCTCCTCAGCCTCGGCCAGCGCGAGCTCCGCGGCCCCCTCGTCACCCCGCGGACACGTCTGGGCACCTAGAGACGTGGGTCGCACCCCGGCCGCGGCCGACTCGGGCCCCGCCTCTCCCTTCCGGCCTCCGGGCGACTCCCTCCTCCCTCAAGACCCCTGCCCCACCGCAGGCCGGAGCCGGCGGAGCCTCACCTCGGACGGGAGCCGGCGGCAGCGGACGCCGTCGTGGGGCTCACAGCATCCTGGGGTCGCAGGCAGCCAAGAAGTGCGGCCGCGCGGAGCCCGAAACGAGTTATGTAACCGACAGGGGCCGTAGCCGGGACGGAGGCGGCGGCCCGCGGCACTTCCGCCTCCCGCGCCGGGCCGGCGGCGCAGGCCGGAAGCCCATTGGCCACCGGTCCCCACGTGAGACGCCGCCGCCGCTGCCCGACGCCGCAGCCGCCATCTCACGAGCGGGCAGGTCTCCGGTGAGGCCCGGCGGCGGGCGGAGGCGCGGACGAGGCGGGCCGCAGGCCGAGCACTCCTGCGCTGGCGGACGTGGGCGCTGGCGGACGTAGACTTCGCGGCGCCCCCTCCCTCCCCCGGTGGAAGCCGGCCGGTTGGTGCCTTCTGGGCCTGGCTGAGTGCCCCACACGCAGAGCGGCGGTGCTCCCGAGACAGGGATTGCTCCTCGTCCTCCAGTCTTGCCTGGGCTGACGCTCCCCTCGCTTGGGCTTGGGGCTCGGGCTTTTCCATCCTTGGCGCCCGGCGGCGCGTCGAGCCGGGAAAGCGTGGTGGTGTGGACGCGGCCGAAAGCCATTCCGTCTCCGCACAAAGGCTGTGGAGGGCTGTCGCCGTGCCAAAGCGTAGGGGTCAGTCGCACTCAAGGTGCAGGAGGGTCTGTATCACAAGATCGAACTCAAGTTCTATTAGTAGGGAACCCGAGTTGAGCAACATCTGATAGTAACTTTAAAGCAGGAATTTATTCTTTGCCTTCAAATAAAAGTGGTCCACATAGCCAAAGGATGGACTAAGAAGGACCTGCTTACAGCCAAAGGCTAGAATGATCCACCCTAAAAGGATTTCATTTGTATCCAAGAGAATAAACGTTATCACAGGTCAAAAGTCTAAATAAAATAACACTATCTTAGAAAAGTTAAAAGCATATTCTTTTTAACATTTTGAAAAGGAAAAACTAAAGAGGTGAGAAGTTTTAAAAGTAACTGGTATAAATAGATCAAGAGTAATATGCGGCGCCTGGGTGTCTCAGTCTGTTAAGTGTCTGCCTTCATGATCCCAGGATCCTGCCATCCAGCCCCACTTCCCACTTCCCTCGCCCTGCTCAGCCAGGAGCCTTCTTCTCCCTCCCCCTCTGCCCCCTCTTCCACCCCCACCCCCCGCTTGTGTGCTCTCTCAAATAAAATCTTAAAAAAAAAATAGAGGTAACAAGGCAATATAAAATAAGGAATAATCTATTGTCTACATAGTATGATGTGTAGAGGCTGATGGAATCTTGATTTATATACAGCAAGTATTTATATTTCCTTTTTGTAAGTTTCTGTAAGTTCCTGTTTTTTTAAGAAAGCTGAAAATAACACTTGAACAAAATGAAAATTGATATAATTCTCTTTATAGCTCTGCACTGTTACATGTTTAAGGACCGCAAACATGCTATTGTAAGCAAAGATGCCGTGGTGAACTGTGTTTGGGCCCATTCAGAACATTTTGAGGACTTCACACAATTATATTTAGTGTGTCATTATTAAATTATTTATAAATTAAATTTGTTGCAAAAAAAAAAAAAGATTTAAGATTGATTAGGAAGATCCACACAGTACAGCAAGATAAATGAGGGCCAAACAGGGTGTGGTGGGGTGGGCGTGTAAAATGCACTTTGAGGTCCTATATACTTTCTAGAGGTGGGCTGAAACTTCAGCTCGCATCTTCCCAGAATCCACTTCCAAGAGAACTGGTTACAAGATTTAAGGGGTCAATGTGTCAGAGGTGGCTAACTGCTACCTACTGTCTATTGTCCCACAAGTCTTTCTTCTCCTCCTTCTCCAATAACTGCTTTATCACATCTTCTTGTGGTAACAGAACCCCACTCCCTACAGCAAGGAAATAGCTGTCAAGGTAGGGTTGTATTTCTCAGCCTCCCTTGCAGCAAGGTGAGGCTGTATGCCAAATTTATTACCAATGGACAAGAGTGAAAGGACATAGGCAATTTCTGTGTCCTTAAAAGCAATTTGTGTAAATGTTACCAATTGATGGAGCTAAGTTGGCAGGTACATAAGTGTTTGCTGCATTATTCTTTCAAATATTCAGGTTTGAATTTTTATTTATTTTTTTTATTTGTGTGAGACAGAGACAGGGGGAGTGGCAGGCAGAGGAAGAAGCAGGCTCCCCACTAAGCAAGGAGCCCGATGGGGGACTTGATCCCAGGACCCTAGTATCATGACCTGAGCTGAAGGCAGACGTTTAACCAACTGAGCCACTCAGGCATCCCAGGTTTGAATTTTTTTTTTTTTAAGATTTTATTTATCTATTTGACAGAGAGAGCGAGAGCAGGAACACAAGCAGGGGAAGTGGGAGAGGGAGAAGCAGGCTCCCCACGGAGCAGGGAGCCTGATGCGGGGCTCGATCCCAAGACCCTGGGATCATGACCCGAGCCGAAGGCAGACGTTTAACGACTGAGCCACCCAGGCACCCATGAATTTTTTTTAAATAAAGAGATGAGGTTTAAAAAAAGGAAGTTGCTTGCTTTCTTCCTCTTCTTTCTCCCCTTTCCCTGTGTTCCCGTCCATGGAAAATGAATGCAGTGATATACCCCCTCAGTAACACAGGAGAAGTGAAACCTTACCTATCTCCTTGCTACTTAAAGTGTGGTCTGTGGTCCAGCAGCATCAGCATCCCTGGGAGCTTGTTAAAAATACGGAACCTCAGGCCTCAGCCAGATTGAATCAGAATTTGCATTTAACTAAGAACCTGTGTTTAACAGGATCCCTAGTTGATTTATAGTTTGAGAAGCCTTAAAACATTGGAAGTTTGAAACATTGAAACATTAAAGTTTGAGAAGCCCTCCCTATGTGATGACATTGTTGTTTCCAGGGTTCTATGCACAGTACTTTAAGATGAACTGTCAAAACTGAGAAGGGCATATACATCCATTCAAACTTTAAAAACACTGTTTTTAAACACAAATGAGAAAATATTCTCCCAAGGGCTTATTATTTGCCAAGTACTGCGTTAAGCTTCTAACAGGGGATCTCTTTTATCCTCAGGACAAGGAGGTACCACATCTTACGACATGTTACTACAAGGGTTATTCAAGGTAGTTGTCCTCTTAAAAAAAAAAAACCATTCCACCCCCAAAATGGTCCCTAATTGGTTTAATCAATTAAGGTCAGCCCCTTGGGGCGCCTGGGTGGCTCAGTCCGTTAAGCATCTGCCTTCAGCTCACATCATGATCCCAGGGTCCTGGGATCGAGTCCCACATCGGGCTCCTTGCTCAATGGGGAGCCTGCTTCTCCCTCTGCCTGCTGCTCCCCCTGCTTGTGATTTTGTGCTCTCTCTCTCTGACAGATAAAAAATAAATAAATCCAAGGTTCCGGTATATAGATAAGAAATAAGGTCAGCCCCTTGTCTCTTGGCTCAGTGATTTGGGTAGTGTGGTCGTCAGTCTCCTCCAGTTCTGTTTCATCAGGAGCTGCCTGTTTTGAGCACTCTGTCTGCTCCTCCTCCCTCTGGCTGCAAGGCCTCTTCTGCTGTACCATTATTTTTCTCTTGCCTACTCATGGCCATGGGTCAAGCAGGGAGAAACCTAGAGGCACTACTCTCGAGGAGAGCCAGCAATCTCTACTCCTGTAGCTTAGCCACATTCCAAGCTGCCAAGCAGAGGCAGTACTCCAGGGAGCACTTGAAGGGAAACCCTCAATTCCTGCCTCCTCAGATGCAGAACCCTCTCCCAGCCTTGGAGACAGGGAGGTAACCAGGCTTCTCTGGGCCAGGGCGAGCAGCAAGCCACCATCGACATGGGCTGCCTCAGCCCTTCCCAAGCCCTGGCTTAATTACTGGGCTAATTTTGGAAGTAGTATATACTCACGATTCTATGAATCTCCAAGGCCAAGATCTCTCCAGAAATTAAGGCATTTAAATTTCCACCTCTCCCTTCTGGTCCCTGGGGTCTCATCTGGCCCATAGAGGAACAAAGTTGGGTACTACTCTTTTATTCCAAGCATGGGTGATAGCACTTATCTAGGGCCCTCCTCACTACTCTGTCAACAAATGGACTAGGGTTGGGGAGGAGGATAGCAGGGGCCGGCAATCAAGGTTTCCCCTGCAATACCCACACATTCAGGTTATAAACAGCATTGCAACTAACAACTTTGTACAAAAACCTGCACACATTTCAGATTGTTTTTTTTAGGAAACAATTCCTAGAATGTTGGTTAAAAAATTTTTTCTTTAAAGATTTATTTATTTTAGAAAGAGAGAGCTGGGGGAGGGGCAGAGGGAGAGAGAGAATCCCAAGGACACTCCCAACGTGGGGCTCAATCCCACAACCCCGAGATCATGACCTGAGCTGAAACCGAGAGTCGGACACTCAACCAACTGAGCCACCCAGGTGCCCCCCAAATTATTTTTAATTGACCACATTTCAATTTGGAAACAAACCTCTGCCCAAAAGTTTTTACTAGTTTATTCTGACACCAAGAGTGAGAAAGCTTCTGTCACACATATCCTCACCAACATGGGGTATTATTATTTTTTAATTTTTAAAAAGATTCTGGGGCGCCTGGGTGACTCAGTTGGTTAAGCGACTGCCTTCAGCTCAGGTCATGATCCCGGAGTCCGGGATCAAGTCCTGCATCGGGCTCCCTGCTCAGCAGGGAGTCTGCTTCTCCCTCTGACCCTCCCCCCTCTCATGCTCTCTCTCTATCTCTCATTCTCTCTCAAATAAATAAAATCTTAAAAAAAATTAAAAAAAAGATTCTATTTACTTATTCATGAGAGAGAGAGAGAGAGAGAGGCAGAGGAAGAAGCAGCCTCCCAGCAGAGGAGGGACTGATGTGGGACTCGATCCCAGGACCCTGGGATCATGACCTGAGCTGAAGGCAGACGCCTAACCGACTGAGCCACCCAGGTGCCCAACATGAGGTATTATTATTCCTTACCTCCCTGCATCTGGTGAAATGATCTCATAATTTTAATGTGTATTTCTTGGTAAGTTTGATCACTTTTCCCTATTTTTATTAACGATTTATATTTCTTCTATATATGATTTTTACAGATGTTTCCAACATATTTTCCTTTGGGCTTAACTGGGGGGTGGGGGATTTTCTAACACAAACTTTTAATTTTCTTTTTAAGTAGGTTCTGATGTGGTTTGAAGTGGTGGGGTTC